GGGGAAAGTGTGTCTCATCTTCTGGCTGGGGTTTCTAAGAGTGGCATGAGAGCAATCCCCACTGCATAAGTACTTTTCAAGCTTCTGCTTGTGTCATGTTTACGAACACCCCTTGGACAAGGTAAGTAACATGGCCAACCCAGATTCAAGAGATGAAGAAACAGACTCTACTCTGGATGGGAAGAAAGGAATCTGTGACCATTTTTGCAATCTATTAGAGTATTCGTGTATGTGTGTCTATGTGTATTTAATCACCTTAAATAAATGGCTATAAAATGTGCATTCTTTTGCAACCTACGGATAGTTCAGTTGATTCGTTTTCACCATTGTATATACCATAGTTAATCCACTCTCTTATTGATGGACACCCAGGTGTTTTTTAATTTTTTGCTTAGCAAATAAATGCTGAATTGAGTATCTGTGCACATAATTCTTTGTGCACATGTGACATATTCTTTGGGATATTATGGCTGCATCAATTTTTACACCTACAAGCAATATACAAGAGTTCTCATTCCTCCACATCCTTGCCAACACTTGCTATTGTCAAACTTCTAAATTGTTGCCGCTCTAACGGATGGCAATGGTATCTCATTAATGTTTTCATTTGCATTTTCCTGAATATGGTTGGGACTGAGCATCTTTTTATTAGTTTATAAGCCATTTTGATTTCCTTTTCTGTGAACTGCTTGCTCCTATTCTTGGCCAATTTTCTATTGGGTTGTCTTTTTCTCATTACAATTTCTTTATATATTCTGCACTGGTTATACGTATTTGAAAACATCTCCTTGGGGACGGTTTGTCTTTTCATTCATCTGTTTTTACGGAAAATTTTGTTGAAGAGAATTTCTTTGTAATCTTAATGTGTTAAATGCACCAATATTTTCCTTTATGATTTATGTCTTTTTGCATTTTCAAGTTATACATATACTCTCTTGTGTTGTCTTCCAAAAGTTTTAAACCTTTGTTTTTCTCATTAAGGTATTTCATCCCCCTGGAGGTGACTTTTGTATAGGGCACCAGCACCATCAGCTGAAGAGTGCCTGCCTTCCCCACTGATGTGCTGTGCCATCCTGTTACATGTATGGACCTGTTTAGGCTCTTCATTGCATCCTGCTGGATTACTTGACTTTTCCAGCACCAACACATCCGTGCATAACTACTATCGCCTTATAATAAACTTTGAACATCCAACAGAAAGAGCTATCCCACCTCATTTTTCTGCAAAATTGTCTTGATTATATTTTCACTGATTGATTATTCTTAGTCCTTTGTTTTTCTGTGAGAACTCGGGAATCAGCTTGTTAAATTCTAAACAAAAACACTTTTAGGGTTTTGATCTAAATTGTACTGAATGTAGAGAATAATTTGAGGAGAACCTCGGTCTTTGATTTCTAGCCTTTAGAACTGTGAGAAAATCAAGTTCTGTTGCTTAACGCCTCCTCGCCCACACCGACCCTACCCCTGCCCAGCCTGTGGTATAGTATGTAGTTATGGCAGCCCAAACAGATTAGTACACCTACCTAAAGTGAGTTAGAGTATCTTGCACTTTGCAAGTCTCTCTTTGTCTCATACATCACACTTGAAATTACTTGTTTGTGTCTGTTTTCCCCACTGGACTGTAGATATCATGAAGGAAAGTAATTCTTGTTTACTGTTACTGTACTATCCAGTGCTTAGCAATACTAAATTCACAGCAAGAGCCCAAGAAATAAATGTACAGAATCTATACACGTGTGGCTACATAAACTATATATGAAATAAAATTAGAAATTCAGTTCCTCAGCAGCACTAGCCACATTTCAAAAGCTCACTAGCCACATGCAGCTACTGATTACCATAGTGGACCGTGCAGGTTATAGAACAGCTCCGTCATCACAAAACGTTCTATTGGGCAGCAACTGAAGGAATGATGAGTATGGAGGAAAGTTAGCCAGGTATAAAAAGATGGGGAGTCAGAGGCAGAGACAAAGGCAACAGGCAGAGTATGGACCCGAAGGGTATGTTTAGGGAACTAGAAGTATTTTGTTGCTGCTCAAGTGTGAGGTAGGGAGAGGAGAGAGGTAAGGAGAGGTCATGGGAGGCCTCAAGTCCTGATGAGAGCTTGAACTGTATTGTGGCTGCCAAGAGAATCCAAGCAGAGAAGTGTCTGGGTCAGATTTGCATTTTAGATACATTACTCTGTGGGGAGTGTCAGCCCGGGGGCAGGAAAAACAATCAGAGGGTTGCTGAAATAGTCTGGGTGAGAGAACCAGAACAAAGGGAAGACTGGGGTGGACGCAGCTGGAGAAAGAGCCAAACTTGAGGGCTGATTGAAAGTAGGGCTGAGAGATGGGAGGAGTCTGATGTGACTTGTAAATTTCTGGATGGTGGTGCCACCTACTGAGGCTAGAATGAAGGTGAAGATAGGAGAATCAGGTTTTATGTGAGAGGAGGACAGAGGGGGAAAGGATAACTCAATTTTGGACAGATTAATTTGCAGTGTTTGTGGGATACAGTGGATGTGACAGTTGGCACAGAAGTTGGGGCTCAGAAAAGAAAGCTGGGTGGCAATTGAGATGTGAGGGTCTTCAGCAAACAGGTGGTAGTTAAAACCACTTGCTTGGACTAGACCACTTGAAGAGAAGGAGTGGGCCAAGGGCAGAACTCCACAGAACGACATTTAGGGATGGGCAGAGGAGAGGCCCATGATGAGCACAAAGAACACACTATGGTTGTGTCATTTATCAAATTACCCAAACTATTTTTAAAACCATTTTCTTCTTTGGACCCAGAGAACCTGCTGGAAGCAACAATTTCAACATATTTCTATTTAATATGTAAGGTTTGCTTGCTTATCGCTGTCCTCAAACAAGCCCCCTGAAGTACTGACTGCTTTGGAATCTCTTGAACGTGGCAGGTAGGATCAGAGTATGTCCTTTAAGATCCCACTGTCTAAGCTGGGGAAGGGGCCTTCTTTCCTTGAGAAAGAGAGACAGGGGTATGCCAACCACAAGCCATCAATGTAATTTCATAGATCCTGAGGGAAAGCCATTTGATTTTGCCTCAGCAGCTAAAAAACGGAAATAGCTCTACTCTAAATAAAACAAGAGGTATCGCAGACTGATTAAGGAGGCACCTAAGTGATCTCCTTGAAGGGGACAGCTAGGCTTATTGGTGATGGAGAAATAGCTCCTTTTGACCTGATTCTACATGGAAAGGAGGCAAAATATGGCAAAGGTGAAATATGACTGTCAGCCTAAATTCCAACAGAATGTTAACAGCTTCTCTGATACCAATAAACAGCCAGAAAATACTATCCCCAGAATCTAATGTTACTTGCTTCTCAATGCCCTATTTAATTTCAATCACACTTTTTCTTAAGAGTCATAAACCCGTCGGATGCCCCAAGAACTAACTTAGAGTAATCATTTCCCTTTAGTCACTCCACCTCACTAAAGTAGGATTTGTTTATGATTCACTGGTACTTACTGATTTCATCCACATTTTTAAGAAATTTCTGCAAGTCTTTCTCTTGATCGTCAGCCATGGTGAACCAGAATCCCTGAGGGAGGCAGCATAAATGATGAAAATTAATAATAATGAAACGCTAAACAGAATTTGTCAGGCTGATTAGCCTTCTAAGACTAAAAGCCAAGTGGTTATTTTAAAGATGGATTTGTGTTTATAAATGTTATGAATAACAGCAGGATGATCTATTTTACTCTGACTGCTGTTAGGGTCAAGGGACACTCATTATTTGCGGTGATACCTCCCTCCACTGGGGAAACCACTCTGCAAAATGTTCTTCCAAAGCCAAAATCAACCGCTGTGATTCAGGGACCTGGCGGGAATGAGAGCAGTAGACAGGCCTCCAGAGATGGAGGATGCTAATTGTTTTTTCTTTTTTCTCTAGCAGAACAATCACGAATTTATTTGTACTTAGCAGCAGTTTCAAAATACATGAAATATAAACTAACAAAATTATAAAGAGAAAATGACAACTCTATAACCACAATGAGAGATACTATCTGAAGCTAAGGAGTCAGGCAGAATATTTGAGTAATAAAACTAATAAACTTAATCTGCAATTTAAATCAAATCCTGCATTTAACAAATACAGAATGCTAATTATTTCCAATTATACTTGGAACATTTACAAAAACTGACCAAGTGGCAGGTCAGAAAGGAAGTCTCAACAAAGCCCCAAAATTGTTATCATTCAGACCACATCCTCTAACCATAATGTAGGCCGTTAAACTAGAAAATAACAATAGAATACGTTCTTAAAAAGTATTTGACAAATTTAAGATGCAATCCTAAATAAATCAGGAATTGAAGAGGAAATCACAACATATTCAGAAATTAACGATGAAAGTACTACATATCAAAACATGTAACATGCAGTTATAATGCTTAGATGTAATTTTACAGCTTTATATGAATTTTGTAAAACACAAGAAGGAACCAAAATAAATTCAATTTACAACAAAGACAGGGAGGGTTGAGGACAAAGTGAGAGAAAGGAAGTAGAAATTAAACAGAAAAATTAAAAAATAGCAAATATTAACAGAACCAAAATCTGGTTCAATAGGAAAACTAATTAGAGGATGCTAATTCTTGGCTTTGATCATGACAGGCCAGCCCAGCCAGCAGCCGGAACCTGGCTATGTGATAGGTAACCAGAGATAGGGCAATCTGCAACCTAATGTCCAAAACTGTTTAAAATATAATCTTCTGACTTGTTTCTGAAGAGTGGAGAGAAGCTACAAATTGGATAAAGGGATTAGTATTTGACTGGCACCATGCACCAATGCCTCTTCTCGTCTTCAGGTACTTCCGATTTATTACTCCTCCGTTGTTTCTGAGTGAGAAGGCGCATGGTGTAACCAGTAGTTCCCAAAGGTTCATCCATAGATCATAAAAATCATCCCCAAACTTGTTAAATACACAAATTCCTCAGCCTTAGCGCCAGAGCTCCTCGGTCAGTAAACCTGAGATAGTATCCAGAAAATGTATCATTTTAAACACTCTCCAGGTGATTCTGATTTACAGCGAGGCTTAGTAGTCGTGTGACACACCTGTAACTGGGCATTGAAATCTGCCACAAAGAAGCTGTGTTTTTTTATCTAAGACTCCATTAATTACAAACTGTGTGGCCTCAACTAAAGTCACAACCTCTCTGAGCTCCAGAGCCCTTATGCATTCTATGGAAACGGTGAGGACTATCCTGTGGATTAATTTGAAAGGTCTGGAAACCATGAGTGGTAAATGCGAGGCAACCTTTTTTGCAAAATCGGGGTGGGGATGTGTGGCTTAAATAAATGATCGCTAGGGTTCTTTTCTAGTTCTAACATTTTGGATTCCCACGGAACTAAGGAGGGACACAAGAAAGGCTCAGAACTTTTTCATGGGCAAGCGCCAACCCTTCAGCTCCCAGGGCAGGGGTCGAAGGGCACGCAAGGCCTGGGCAGAGAACCCACTACAAGACGAGGCTAGGCCAGGCTTCTGCCATAAGCCTCCGGGCGCTCGGAGCTCCCCTCAGCAGGAACTGCTGACCGGCCAGACGAGCGCTGGAGCCCCACGACGTTTGTTTTGCCCCAGACGTCCCTCCCCGACCGGCGCAAAGGGGCGGGGCCGACGGCACCGTTGCCCCGCAACCGCTCTAAAGCGTCCGCCGGTCCCGTGCCCTCCACGGCGGTCCCAGCCCTCAGACCATACAGTTCCATCTGCTGAGGCCCAAACCAGCATCCTCTGCTCGGTTCTGACGGTCAGATCAGGACTAGGTCCCAGGGCAGACCCCGGGCCACCTTGCTGCACTGACCTGACGCGCCCAGGGTTGGACAGGAAATGACGGCTGTGCGCCGACGGAGATTGATCAAGGCTGGGGCCGGGGCGTGGCCTGGGGCTCGGGGCCAGGGGCGTGGCCTGGAGCGGGTTGGTCCGGGGCGTGGTCTCGGCGGGGG